ATATATATATATATGCCTATATAATACAAAATTGGTTCACAGTTCCAATTATTTATTTATTTTTCAAATTGTGCTTGCAAATTGTATAATATCAAATGTAAAAATTTCTAGTAATTGTGCAGTTAATTATCATACTGTTTTTACAGAAAGTTTGGGAATGTATCCCAAATGTGTCACTAATAAAACACAATACAAATAATTTAAAGAGGAGGCTTATATTGAGCTTTTAAGATTTACCTAAGATTTACCTAAGATTTATTTATATGTAGCCTACATATATTTTTGCTATTTTAATAAAAAGGTTACAATTACAACAACAATTAAAATTTTAACTATATTTCAAATGTAATCTTTCTTTGTATTATATACTAAAGTATACATTTTATCATACATATTTCACAGTTGCGGATTAATTAGTTTGAATATAGCTTACAATCGAACAAACACTATAATAACATCTTAGCAAACAAGCTTATTTGATGTGGCAGTATTTTACAGTAAAAACGACATCTTGTCTTTCATATGTAACATATCGTTTTTATGATTAGGACATATAAATGTTAATTTGCAGTTTAATACGTTGCTTATACAAAAATATTTTATTTCAACATATTTCAGTCGATTTTTACTCATCTCAGTATTGGAATATAGTTAGGTAAAAGCTGTTCATTCATTCACACACAAAAACGCGATTCAAACAGTCTTTTTGTTTACAGACACTATTCCATATCGCGATTAGCACAAAGCACTTGAAAATAAAGAATGTACCTATTTCCTCGGCTGGATCCGTTGCTCCTCCAAATGAAACTACCTGTAGCCTACTTCTGAGGTAATTTTTTCCAGGATTATTATTAAAATAGTACTATTATTCCTCACAGCGTCGTAAATCTGAGTCTCTTTCGGTGGGTTATCCAGCTGGTGTGGGCGTGGATCGCCTCAGAGCATTTGTGTTTGAATAGAGCGCGCGCTCCGTGGGCGTGGTCAAATTAACTTTAATGAGCTGAGACGAGAACGACTATCATCTCTCTCTTTTCGTACAGATTACATAAAATGAGAAAAAATTTTTTATATAAATTACTTCATTTAAAAGAAGATAATTCAGGCTTCATGCCTGTGTGCCTGTATACCTGTTTGACTGAATATTTGCAGAGTTACAGATGATTTTTCGGACGCGTTTCAGAATGGACTTCACTGACTGAGAGAACGCAGAACGCGCATCATGTTTATTTTTCTTTATTAGGCGAAAAGCACAACACTTTGTTTTTATTATGAGGTTCCACAAAAAAAATACAAACTTAACAGGATCGAATGATGTACAACACTTATATGTAAGATCAAAATTAACAGAGTAATTTGAGTCTCTTTTGCACTGATAAGGAAAAAAGTGAGCTGGTATCGCCGGCGAGACCACCGACCCCAGAGAGTTAAAGGAAAACTCCGGTCAATTTTAACATTGAGCTCATTTTTTGTAAATTTGGAGTGCTGTCAGTACAGATAACGACAAAAACCGGTGTTGCCTACACCGTGTTATCCTCTTTTTAAAATTTGCACCCTGTTGACTTAAACGGGACAAGTTTTAAACCTGCTTTTAGCCTCTTAACAACCTTAATGTGTCATTACAAGTGCACAGCCATGTGAGTGAACACGGTGAATCTGACTGCAGTAAATGTGAAAGATTTGAATAAAAATTATGTTTATTCAGCCAGCTCACATACCCGTATTTTCTTCCTGTTTTCGGTCGAAGTCCACAGTAGGCGATTGTCGAGTGCGCGCGCGCGATCATTGGTAACTGAGCAACAGTGGAGACTCAGACTGTCAGCTGTCAGCCGATGACGGTGCTGTGTGGTGTTCTGAGAATATCAGCTCAAATGGATAGTTCATCCGGATCAGATGTTGAACACACGGAGGAGGTTTGATCGCGCGCGCGAACTCGACAATCGACTACTGTGGACTTCGGCCGAAAACAGGAAGTAAATACGGGTATGTGAGCTGGCTGAATAAAGAGATTTTTCCTGCCTTCGTGAAAGCTCGGATCACAGTTGAGACTGATACATCAGCCCAGGCATCCACGATCCATTGGGAGATAGTGGCGTAAGTCGCCCGGCGCTGTCTCCCCGTCTTGGTGAACGTGTGTTCACCATCCATATATAAGGCGCTCCGGATTAGAAGGCGCACTGTCGTTTTTTGAGAAAATTAAAGGCTTTTAAGTGCGCCTTATAGTGCGGAAATTACGGTAACTATAGATCAACCTTTATTAAAGTTAATCAGTGAAGAGCAGTTAAAGATGCATAAATAATGTTTTGAAATGTTGAAAATATACAGCGTTAAATACTGTTATATGAAATAATTTATAAAACTGAAGATACTTTAAATGTGAAATGAAACCCACCAGGATGTGGCATCAAGTCACAGGTAATGAGTGAGTCATTGAGATTCAACCGATTCATTCAAACGGCTGATTCGTTCAGGAACGAAGCATTTTACAGTCTTAATGAGTGAGTCATTGAATCATTGATTCGTTCAAAAAGCTGATTCGTTCAGTAAAGATGAACCATCGTGTCGACTAGTGTTGCTCAGAGATGCTAAACAGTCCTGTGGACTTTGTTTGGAACTATTTTCATTGGTGGAACAGAGCGAAACAGGGGATTTGATGTCTAAAATGTAAGTCACTTAACATTAACTTGTTTATTAAAGTGTACTTTATATAAAAACAAATGTCACATTTGTAGTCATGCTAATATTTGGAGTAAAAATGGCGCTCTTCGTGTAATATTGGTTAACTATATTAAATTATATACATATAACTCTAAATGCATTTTAATAGACTAAATAACGCAGTAAAAGTGTGTACTCTAAATGTGCATGCGCGCTTGTCTAATTTACTAGACTACATCACGTAGTGTAATGGGTGTGTTTTTGTAAAGTGAGGGACATACTCGATAATATCAGATTGTTAAATCAACATTTACGATGTCATAGACGATCTATATCGCAGACCACCTACAGCACTGGCAGTCCTTATTTTCGAGCCTTGAATTGATTCAATTTCTATATTTCTTACTTGCTACTGTTTAACCCTCTGGGGACCAGAGTGTTTTTGGGGCCCTTGGGATGTTTTGACATGCACTGACATTTGTGCTTTTTTCAGTTATTTATAAACATGTTAATGGCAAAGGTGTAAATTCACTCTATATAGCACAAACTTGGCTACCATGAGATCTGAGCAACATGTATGTACATGTTTGTATTTTTAATAGAATAATGTTTATGCGTGGTTATTGAAAAAAATAAAAATGAAAGTTGCTGAAATAAGACCACAAAACACATATTGATTATTTCTTCACAAGACTTTTGAAAATTGTATCACATAGCCTAGAATATTTGCTCCAAAACTATGTGAGAATCATCCTGACTACTCATTCAGATAAGTCAATAAAGTCTTTTACATTTTTAATGACGTGTTTTGTTTGAGAAAGCTTTATGCAGGAGGCTTGATCTCTCATTAATATGTATGGCATTCCACACCTGAGAAAGACAAAGACCCTCCCATAATGGCCCTATTAGGTGCTATCAGGCCATATCATTACAGGAGCCTTGCACAAAGAATGAGGAGATTTAAAAAAGAATGGCTTTTAGATTGTTTGGATATTATAAGGAAAATACAGGGTGCATACGTCTGGACACTTCTATCACACACCCTTCACCATATAGACATGGTTTTATTTCAGTTCAAAGTTAGAGTTGGAAACATCTTGAAAAGAAAATTGTCTTTCTCCATAAATGTCTTAGTTTGATCATACATATTTCAAAGTTGAGGATTCATTATTTTGATATAGCTTGAACAAACACTATAACATCTTAGTTGATTAGTTTATTGACAAAACATACTATATATTTAACATATGAGCAGAAACTCCTAAAAAAGCTTATTTGATGTCTATTTTAGAGTAAAAACTTTATCCAAAACGAGTCAACGAAATGTTGTCTGTTATTTAGTCTGTAACAGTGCGTATCTGTGCGTTCATTCATTCATTCACACACACACACACAAACTGTGTGACACAAACATGATTCACATTTAACAGTATGCTATTTTTCCGTTTACAGACACTACGTTATTCTATATCGCGATTAGAACAAAGCACTTGCAAAAAACACTTACTTCTCAGCTGAATCTGTTCATCCTCGAAGTGAAAATAACCCAGTGGTAAATGTCCCAGGATTGTTCCACATATAGCCGCGCAAGACGACAGTAGATTAATCTGACTAAAAAATAATGTGTGTTTTCAGAGTTCATGGGCGTTAACGCGTCTCAATGTGTTGCTTCACATATTTGCGTTTGAATAGCGCGTGCTCTCCGTGGGCGTGTCACATTACCACAGATAATCAGCTGAGAGAACGATAATGAGATGGGCTGACACGTCTCTCTTTTTATATAGATGACATAAACGGAGAATAATAATTTTAGTTTTGAATCGGATCATTTAAAAGTACAAACTCAAATGATTTAAAAGATATATTGCTTATGGCTGGGTGAATAGTATTAGCTGAGTTGTGTTGAAGATTAGAGACGTGCTCCAGAAAAAAAGTTCACGGTGACCGAGAGGCAGAACGCACACCCTGTTTATTTTCTTTATTTTACAAAAGCACAATATTTTATTTCGATTGTATGTGGGCACATAAAAAAGTAGACATTTAACAGATTATTTTCTCATATTTCTTAACTCTATATGAACAGAAATGATGGTAGTACTTTAAGTCTATTTTTCTGCTATGTGAAAAAAAACGAGCAAAACGCGCCGGCGCGTTTCTGGTCCCCAGAGGGTTAATAGACCAGCTAGCTGTACCTAAAAAATTAAAGCACAGTTTTTTGGGGGGGGGGGGGGGGGGGGGTTTGGATTGGCATCAGTATTGGACATGAATATGTGGTATGGCATAATCCCTAGCAACGTTGGTATATAAAGATAAAATGAAATATTGTAGTAAGAGCTGATACTTACACTTTGTCTTGAGTCTTATCCAGTCCATAGGCTAAAGCAGCAGCGGTCGGCTCATTGATGACACGCAGCACATTCAGACCTGCAATCTGTCCTGCATCTTTGGTCGCCTGTAACAAACACAACACATTTTACAGACAGTAATGCATCTGATAAACCAAAGCGGTTCACAACATGAGCACTCGCGTCAGTGGCCGATAACAGAGTGCTTCCTAAAATGAGAGACTGAAACGAGCATTTTCAGTAAAATGCTTTGAAACAATATGCATTGTGAATCATCAACTCATTTACTCAACCTCAAGTTGTTCCAAACCCATATGAGTTTCTTTCTTCTGCTGAACATAAAGGAAGATATTTTGAAGAACGTCAGTAATCGTACAGTTAATGGGCCCCATTGGAAATCCAGAAAATATTATGGAAATCCAGTGTTGGGGGGTAGTTAACTACAAGTAGCGACGCTACTAACTTAACTACATTTTTCAATAGCTTGGCAGTAGCTCAGTTGCTTTTTAACTAACTACAGTAGCTAACTACTTTTTGCAGCAAGTAGCGGTGTAGCGCGAGCAAAAGCTACATTGCGTTTTGTCGAGCCTGCGTGAATCAGCGTGATGCAAGGATATTCTTCTTGTTAGATTACAAACTTATTTTTTGCCATTACCGCCACCTGTTGTTTAATCATGCATCTTGCGGCTAACGGTTCACTGACGTACAGAAGTGGGTTGACACAGCCCATGATGGAGCAAGACGTGGCGGCAGATTTGGAGGATGGAGAAACAACTAACGTTAATTACCCATGGCCTTATTTGTCCAAGTTCATGTCTCTCAAAGAAACGACAAGTAAAGGTTACACTTTTGTATGCAATCTTTGCAAACCAAAGTTTAAAACGCTGTCTACGTCGAAGACCTCAAGCACAAATTTAAGGACGCACATACAGTAATGGCCATTTTAAATGTATTAATTATCCTGCTTTATTGTTACATCAAATTTCTATTTCTGATTTAATTACCATGACCCGCCATGATCTGTCCGCCAGTTTGGTAATGAACATAAAAGACCACTAACGTTTGCGCCATCGTATTTGTCAGTTGAACAAAAAATGTAATCTTAGTTTGTTTATCGCACGACAAAGGTTTCAGACAAAGACAAAGTTTTTTACTGTGGTTTCAGAGCGAATTGTTTTAAATATTTTACTTAAAACATTCCTCAGACACTTATTTATAATATACGTTGTTCAAAAAAAGCAAAAGTAGTTTCAATGTAGCTAGCTACTTTTTGATAGTAACTTGTAGTGTAGCTAACTACTTTTCCAAAAGTGTAGCTTGACTTGTAGTTTAACTACTTTACCTTGCGAGTAGCTTGTAGCTTGTCAAACTACAGTTTCAGAGTAGCTTCCCCAACACTGTGGAAATCAATATGGCCCATAAACTGTTTGGTTACTGACATCATTCAGAATATCTTCTTTTGTGTTCAACAGAAGAAAGAAACTCATACAGGTTTGGAACAACATAAAGGTGAACAAACGATGACATAATTCCCATTTCTGGGTGAACTATCCCTTAAAGTCAATCTAGTAGAAAGTGAAAAGCAGAAGGTGAGGTTCACCTGTCTCTGGGAGTCGTTGAAGTAAGCCGGCACTGTAATAACAGCGTTCTTCGCCGCATGGCCCAAGTAGCTCTCTGAGAAAGAAAAGGAGGAACAGGGGTTTGCCGGAGCTTTGGGTTATTTGGGTCTGAAGCTGCTGTTCTTCGGGCAGGACTCACCTGCAGTCTCCTTCATCTTCATGAGGATAAAGGCTCCGGCCTGACTGGGCGAGTACAGTTTGCCGTGGGCTTCCAGCCAGGCGTCTCCATTAGAGGCACGCACGATCTTAAACGGCACATTTTTCCTGTCAATCACAGCAAAGTTCATCACTTATTTGCAAGAAAAACTACATTATAAGGATGTTAACGATTAATTCCAGTTAATGATTTGATCGATTAATCTCAGCACAGAAGCGTTCAGTGATCATCCGGGCAGAAGGTAAAGACACTGACTATAAAGTCATCCGACGCTACAGTGCATTTCATGTGTGCTGCACAAACGCACAACCTTGGCTCACTCGAAAACGGTCAAATGCGGGCTCAACGGCATGAGTGCTGGAGCGTTTCCTTGCGAGTAAATATTATGAACACCACAAACACATGATTGTCGATTAGACATTAGAACAAGACATCGTCTTTATTTGCAGTGGTGATGTTATTTCTAATAAGCTCTTACTCTTCCACAGGTCTTTCCCAAATATTTTTCGTACCATTCATGCCAATATATGCAATCATTCATGTTAACGATTAATCGATAAATTGATTGTTTAAGGTGCATTGCGCACCTCTCTGAGTTTTTGCAGAACTATGCCCCCCTCTGGCGACAAGCGAAACTGCCTTACTGTCTTTGTCTTGCGTGGAGTTTGCGTTGGGGTTTATGAACTACAAGCCAGTCTCTTTGAATCCATCTTCTACTTTTGTCGAAAGTTGACTGAAGTTTTGTCGCTCGAGTTGTCTTCGCTAATACGGAGAATGGCGGCGAATACACAAACCTGCCAGACATAGCCAGGTGAGCGTGAACGCGCATGACGTCACGCCCAGTCTCACGTTCCGGCCCGAATCACTCTTATTTATTTTACTGAACAGGATTATAGAGGCAATCGCAGTGATCAGAGAAGGGCTCATTCAGCCCATCAGGCAATTGTTTAAGCATGTATGGGTTAGAAAAACGGTATTTTTAACATGAAATGTTGCGCAATGCACCTTTAATATTTAAGTAAAATCCATTATTAATATTCCTGAAAATTTGCATCCCTAGTACATTATATTTCCAATATTTTGGTAATCGAGTAATCTGTCGATTATTTTGACGATTAATTGGATGACAGTGCAACACCTCACCATGAAACACCTTCCCAAAAATGCGCGTTATTGGAAACCCAAACACACAGAAACTGAGTTGGTGCAGAGCAGCATTGACTGAATTATGGCTGCGTCCGACTAAAGATTTTTCTAGTCGACTAGTCGTCGTTCATTTAAGCCATTAGTTGACTAATCGTAGGTTTATATTAATTAAATTACTTAAATATATACTGAGGAGAATACTAAACCATAATGAGCGTTTAAAATATAGCCTATTCCGCACTCGAGCGCACAAAGCTTGCCGCAAAGCACCGGCAAAAGTAATGATTATGAATAAGTCGGAAAAATAGCAAGGAGACATTTGAATTATTTATTAATAAACTAGTGTTTTCCGAGTCAGTGACGCTGACGCGACAGAGTACATAAGCAAAGAGTATTTCTTTTTCACCTTGGACTGGTTCATTCAAAGTAGACATTTCAAGCTTTCTCTTTTGTTTCTGCGACTAACCGACTAATAAAATTGGTCAACTAAGCCTCTAACATTTAGTTTTAATATATCGTGCAGCAGTTAGAAAACGGTGTAGTAATGCGGTTCATGGATTCTCGTCGTTGGAAAGCAACACTTCTGAAATTTTGGCAATTGATCAACATCTATATTTATTTTCTTTTCTTTTTTTTTTTTTTAAATCGAGCACTCAAACTTCGAGGAATCGTGACGGCCCTAATTACAAGTTTGCTAGTATGTAAAAATGTATGCATATGTAGAGTGAGTGAGTATGTATGGACATCAAGTTTGAAATTAAATGGCTTACAAATCTTTCTGGACTTCAGCGTCATCATAGCGCCGTCCAATCAGACGTTTAGTGGCGTAGAGAGTGTTGTTGGGGTTGGTGACCGCTTGACGTTTGGCCGGCATTCCCACGAGCCGCTCTCCATCAGATGTGAAGGCCACTACTGACGGGGTCGTCCTCGCACCCTCTGCGTTTTCCAGGACCTGTTACGGCGATGCGCTTTAGTTCAACAGCATTTTGATTCAAATAATCAATTTCAGGCAGACAGTAGTAGAGGTGACTTGATTCATCCTTCATTCAGATTTGTTCTTGTTCTCAATAGGGGCTTTACATCATTTCAAATGTGCATTTCATTGTAATTCACATGGTTTCTGGTAAAATTGTAATGCAAAGAAAAATAAAAGGAATAAACTGAAGGGAACCTCTTCTACTGTACCTTCTGATCACAGCAAAAAAAGTGATCTTCCTCGGTCTGGTTTTCCAGTGCAATCGTCTAAATATTCTTAAATCAAGATGCATTTACAAGAGATACAAAACGACATAAAATATTAAGTTTTGTTCGTGAAATTGATATATATATATATATATATCTGCCAAAGGGCTCAGAAAAATCTAATAAACTCAAAGGGAAGTTTTCATAACTCATTGACATATATTTGATCATGTTAAAGGTTCACTTCATTTGTTTAATTTATCAAGACTTTGTTTTACATTTGCATCTCAAAGAGGTTTAGATATCTGTATTGGAAAACAGCACAAAAATATTGAGGAAGATAATTTTTTTGCCCAATGTAAACTCTTGGGACAGTGTATTTTATAAGCTTTTTGCATATTTTGTGCATTTTAAACAATGACATGCAAGTACATAACAGTATAGATCACTGATATAGATCACTGATTCTTGGGACAAAACCATTTAAAATGTTGTCACAAAAGTTATTCCTGCACTCAGCTCCTTAGCGGTTTTGTATTGTTTTCACTTCATGGCCCAGTTCCACAAGCAGGGCTTAGATTAAACCAGGATTAGACCTTAGTTCACAAAGGGCATTTAAGTAGCTTTTATAAAAGTGCCTTTGAAAAAAATGGTGTGCATCTTGAGACAAAACAAATGGCACTGACATATTTTAAGATGTGTTTCTTTCAGTTAAAAACAGCTCAAACATGCATTTTAGTCTGAAACTCGTATTAAAGGGTTAGTTCACCCCAAAATGAATATTCTGTCAGTAATTACTCTCATGCTGTTCCAACCCCGTAAGACTTTCGTTCATCTTCAGAACACAAATTAAGATATTTTTAATTAAATCTGAGAGCTGGATCACACCTCCATAGGCTTCTTAAGGGATTGAAACTGGCCGGCCCAAAAGTTATTAAAGTAGTCCTTGATAAACTTAAGGTTGAGCCACTGTAGTCACTTGGACTATTTTAACGATGTCTTTTACTTTTCTCGGCCGGCCAGTTTCAATCCCTTAAGAAGCCTATGGAGGAGTGATCCAGCTCTCAGATTTAATCAAAAATATCTTAATTTGTGCTCCGAAGATGAACGAAAGTCTTACGGGGTTGGAGCGACATGAGGGCGAGTAATTACTAACAGCATTTTCATTTTTGGGGTGAACTAACCCTTTAAGCCTCGTCTGTGAAACCGGGAGCATTAGTTCTAGCTTACCTTTGCTTGTTTTCCCTCCATCACAGCCACGCAGGAGTTTGTGGTTCCCAGATCAATACCGATGACAGCGCCTCGGATCGCCTCCGAACTGAAAAACCACCCGGCAGCTCAGACACGCGTTCATGGACCTTCATCATCTATCATAGAGCAGCTAATATCATACTCACGCATAATGACGTCTGGCTGAAGTCTGGAGAGTTTGTTGAGTCAATCCATTCCAACAAGCCTGACAAATAGGAGACACAAAAATGGAAGTTTCACTAGTAGAATATAAAAACTATAACACAAAATAGAAGGAAAATGACTATATGAGATGCTGTACAGAGTGCAGTTAGTGCCAAAACACAGGCATATACAGAATTACTCAATTTCACAGGTCTTACCATGTGGTCACGTTGAAGCAAAGAGAATCAAGTGGATTACAGTACCTTTACATAATGGCAATATTACTTCAAACACTCAGTCAGTATATGTTATAAATGAACAACAAGTCATTAATCGGTGAAACAGCCAGATGAAGGAAAGCTCATGTCATAACCCGAGGTGGGATGCTTCAGGGACACTTCATGAAGGTCATTCAAACACACTCTTCCTCAACTCCACAGACACCAAATGAATGACCTCCACTGATGTTTACACACTTTTAACTGTCCAGATGATTTACCGGATAGTAAATTATCATGTCTCTAAAACAAGTCACTTACATAACGCTGGAACGTGGTTAAATCACATGAACATTTGGGGGTTGTTTTCTTAATGCAAGGGGGAACTGATTAGTTTAAAGCTTGTCTTCCACTGTTTTGTGTCTTTAACAGATTTTATACGATGAGTATGGCTACAAACACACACACACACACACGTTAATCACTTCAGGCAAATGTCAACGGATCCTGTTACCAAACCATCATCACTGCAAACTTCATCTGATCCGGATCAAAATCATGTCGGCTCGATATAAAGAGACTGAATCAAATACCCACTGAGAAATCATTCTGACTGACAGCACACTTTAAGGGCACTCAGTAGTAGTGAAGAACTCACTCACCTTCTTGATGAGACCAGACACACTGCTGGAGGTTTTCTGAGAGCACGACATGTTTATCGCTGCTGTTCTCGCCGCAGACAACATCTTTGAGTACTTAATAGCTAATATAAATGGACGTTGAGCAACAGCCACTGAATGTCAAATAAATTAGCTCTGGCGGGTCACTCTCAGGCCCTGTGCTCCGGTAACGCTTGTGATGAAGTCTCACTGACGTTCTTCTAGAATTATCCAACACCACATGGCAATCAGAAGGACCTCATAGGAGCCCACGGAGCGCCTGAACAGAATACGACATTCTGTTTTAAACTGACATAGCACTGTTGTTTAATGTAATTATCCAGTGTGTGTTATATGCTGTTGTTGTCCGAAATTATATAAATCTGAGCTAAAAATATGATTGAATAATTATTAAATGGCAAAACACACAAGGCACATATGTGGGCATTAAAAGCTGCAATCCTGAAGGTCAAACCAGAAACCACAATCTTTCGTAGTCATTACATCATGTAACATTTTCATTACTTCTATATCATTATTATTATTTTATTATTATTATTACATTCTGCCAGGCCTCTCAATGCATCTGACAAACATTATATTTGGGTATTTTATAAAAAAAAAAAAAAAAATATCTGTTTATTATAAATTGTATAAATTGGGCTCTTCATGTAAAATTTTAATATATTGTCCCTTTCTTGTTTTTTATTATTATAATTTTTACGTCATGTTTTTTATTGTTATTTATGGTTATACCACCTTACGCTAGTGTTATTGTTCTCTGCGATAAAACAATTATTATTAGTTTATCATTTTACAAATTGCTAATTTGCTTATATGTTTGGTTTGTATAATTATGTACTGAAAATACCATTGTCATTATTATGTTGGACAAGTTTCACATTCATTGGAGCAAATTTATGAACCAAGCCCTTATTTTCGGTTAATATATATATATATATATATATATATAAAAATGGAAAATACATGTTTTACATACTGTTTTTAGGCCCTTTATGATTTTTGTAAGATTTATTTTGTTTGTTTCAAACAAAAAAGACTAGAAGAGATCAGGTGTCAGCAGGTTTTTAAAGAAACCTCAGAAAAGTCCAGCTATCCTGCAGTACAGACAATGTTTTGCACTTGATTTGATCATATGCATAGATGTTTGGGAATGACACAGTGACATAATTCTATGAGGAGACCAAGTTTAGCCACCTTGCAAATCCATCTAGCCTAATTCATTTCCTTCTTGGTTTCTCTCCTCTATTTCTGTCCAGGCATCAGAACCAAATGTCTTCATGACACTGGGTCCAGACAGCGTTCAGAGCTTAACCTTCTACATCCAGCATTATCACTGAGGAACTAAAAGATATCCACTCTCTCACACTTCATCTATATTAGAAGCTGAAATGAAATGCAGATTCAGTCTCTGACAGCAGGTGGCGCTCATGGCAAAGCAGAAGTGACCCCTGAACACAAGCATCTTTCTTCTGTTCGGACACTCTTTTTTCAAGTATTTACAACAGCCCTACATACTACAACATTTGTTTATGATTAGACTAGTCTATTATCACATTTTAATCTGGACTAAAACATGGCAGCCAATAAAAGATATCAGGATATTGGTTGAAAATGTGCTTATTTATTATTATTAGTTGTGTTCTTTTGCTATTTACTTTGCATCGTGAATCTTTTCATTTCTATTGTGAATTGTTTTATTGTTTTTAAATGTTCAATGTTCTTTTTGTTATTTGAAAAAAAAGTGTTAACTTCTTATTTAGAGGAAAACACTCACGTTTGCTTACTCTTTTTATTGCAATTCAATGTCGTAATTAAAGGTTCAGCAATTATTGTGATATAAACTGATGTCCTTTTGAATGTCTGTTTGAGATATATGTGTGTTATTTATAGCTCTCAGTATTGTGTAATGTTCTCCTTGAGACTGAGGGACATGCAGGTGGACGGGGCTGTAGTGCTGGAGAAAGATGTTGAATTGCTCTTCGCTCTGCTTTACATTCCTAGGATATAGAGCATATAAACAGTGAAATTCCCATCTTTAGCGTTGAATTGACTGAATTTGAACACTTTTTACTGTCACTGAGAACAAACTGTTTCAGTCAGAAATACACGTAGCTGTTCCAAATAGCTGATGTTGTTTAAAGGTCAGATTCAAGTGTCATGATGTCAAATAACAATGGGTGTTTGTTACTATTTTTTTTTATTTAACAGCTGTGAAAACATTTAATGTCACTAATCAACACAACGGTTTAGCTTTAGTGTTCTTAGTTAAAGATTATCACTAGTAACCTCTCTCTCTCTCTCTGTGTGTGTGTGTGTGTGTGTGTGTGTGTGTGTGTGTGTCCTTTTCTGGTATGTAATGGGGACCAAATGTCCCCGCAATATAGATAATACCAGGACATTTTCTGGTCCCAATGAGGAAAATCACATATAAATCATATTAATTGAGTTTTTCTTTTTGTGCAAATGTAAAAATGCAACGTTTTCTGTGATAAGTAGGTTTTGGGTTAGGGGATAGAATATACAGTTTGTAGAGTATAAAAATAATTATGTCTATGTCCCCATAAGGAATACAGCTTATAATATTGTGGCAAGCAGGGCGGGGCCGAGAGCCGCGGGAACCTGAAATATACATGTAATAAACATTGATGAGACGCTATACTTAAAAGCAAAAATCCAAAGCTCTGTAAAAAAAAACGATGCAACACTCACTCCGTTTATAAAAGTAAAACATGTTTTACTAATAATAAAAAATCTGTTAATTCTGTCTGTTTAGCAATGCTCCTTGACTGAGCTTAACGGACATAACACCCGTAACGTTACTGACCGTTTTTTTTTTTTTTTTTTTTAAGTTCGCTGAAAGGGGAAATATTAATAATCTATCATAACTTGTTATGATTGATTATGAATATTTGGGTCAGTTAATTGGATTATCTTGATGTAGCTAAATTAATATTACAATCAATTAATCAGTTCGCCCTACAAACTCTTTTGATTATTCATTTATTCTAAAAAAGGGTATCTTTCATGGCCACAGAAAAATAATTCTTTCTTAACATGTACAGCGACATGATAATTGATTTTAGAACGGGCACCGTTGATCACGTCACTACGATTATTAAAGGACAGACTGTGGAACAGGTGGAGAGTTATAAATATCTTGGTACAGTTATAGATTCAAAACTTTCATTTGAATCTAATTGTGATATGGTCTGTAAAAAGGGTCATCAACGTTTGAGATGCCTTAGGAAACTTGCTAAATTTCACATCGACAGATGTATGTTGACTTTGTTTTATTTCGCTTTTATTGAATCTTTTATGTTTTTTTCCATAGTGGTGTGGTATGGAAGTCTGTCAGTGAAGAACAGAAACTCCTTAAACCAAAGGAACCTATACACAAATCAGCTGTATCGGAAAGCAAGTGCTGTCTTGAGTGATCGGTCGCATCCCTTAAAGGAGCTGTATGTAAGAAATTTATTTCAATTAATCATAAAATGGCCCTGAAATGTCACTAGACATTAAGAAATCATGTACATTTCAAATACTTATATCACTGACAACAGTAGTCTGGCCAGGATATTGTCATTTAAAAAGTGCAGTTGCAGCCCTCAACTGATGTTGATGTTGTCATGTTGTGTTTTGGTCTGATGCTCCACCCTCCACCTATCTACCAATCACGAGGTCAGTAGTGTTGCGGCATCCGGGTTGCCAGCTCTGCTCTAGTTACCACAGCTGCAGCTCGTCACGTTCCTGCTGGATCCTGCAGCCAATCTGGCAACCTCGAGTCAGGGAGGAGGGGGAGGGGATACACCACTCTACAGTACCGTAATTCCTCAAATAAAGACCGGTATTCAAATAAACGCCGGGCCTCTGATAGTGGCCGGGGGCGTGGTCAACGCGGACAAATAAAGGCCGGTCTCAAATTAAGGCCGGGGAAAAAATAGTGTGAATAGGTACACTTTAAATGAGTGTACACTCAAAGACGGACGCGCTCAGCGCTTGTCATATATCACAACTATTCAGTGTTTTTAACCACATGTTTATTTTAGGTTTCAGACATTTAAATAGATATGATTTATAGCAAAACAATAAATTTATAGTTTGTAAAATACACAATGGTGTCTATGGAAGCAGCAATAACAATCCATTCAAATATATTTGGCGACGTGTTTTATTCATATCAGATACACAGTGTAAGTAACTATAAAGTTTACTCTATTCTTCTCCCAGTTCACCGGCCACTTACTTTCATGTATTTCGGGAGAAACTGAAGAATTCACGCGCTGTAACTTAACAAATACAACAGGAATCTCCGAACTGCGGTGCCCATCTCACGTTACAGATCAAGATAATTTATAAAGGGTTTTAAACGACAAAACAAACTCACTTACACGGATTTGAGAGTCAGAATAGAAGATAGTTGATGACATGGTAAGCAAGTTTGTTAATATTTAGAAATAAAAGCGCTACATCTGTCATACAGCGCTATTTTGGCTGTGGTGAACACGTGCCAAGCATGCCGCGTCACCATGGAAACTTGGCGGGCGGGGATCGCGAATTAGAAATAAAGGCCTGCCTATAATAAAAGCCTGCTTCAAATAAAAGCCGGCTACCATCTGCAGTTCAGGTAAATAAAGGCCCCGGCCTTTATTTGAGGAATTACGGTAATTTGAAAGTGATTGCAGTACTAGTTTTGGCCACAATCTTACATACAGCTCTTAAGTTACTTCAGTCTTGTCGTCGGTTTGCGGTTTTGAGATGGAAAACAAGACAATATAAGAATACTTTTGTTCCAGCTGCAATTGAATTCCTAAATAATAAGAGAGAAGTTTTAGCACTTGACAGTTAATATGGATAGAGGATACGTATGTGTTATGGCGCAGTCTGTCATGAAGTCTATTTGTAAATTTGTACGTGAAATACTTGTATATTCCTATGTTTTTTATGTGAATGACCGAATACTTTTTTATCTGTAATACAATTTTACCTGCGGGTATGAAATAAAACTACCTACTACCTACCTACTACCTAGAGCATGTAACAAGATCAAGATCATAAAATAAGCTTTGCTTGCAAGCAGAGAATCAGAACCAAATACATATTG